TTGAACAGATTCACCGTACAATAAAGATACAATAAATGTTTCTATTAATATCTATTCACAAATTAAATAGCAATAGCCATTATTTAGTCATAAATTAATCATTCATCTTTGTACGGTAAATATTAAACATTTAAAATATTCCAATACTGCAAATTGATTTCAGTTGATCCAATTTAACTCGTAGATTTTCACTTCTTTTTTTCTTAGTACTATATATGAAGCAGCTATAAGTTAGATTATTTAGTTTAGTGTTATTTCATGGTTAAAATATTAAAAAATGATTTACCTTTTTTCAATAATTTGGCATTGCTCATTTTATAGAAAGTAGCCAGGGTTGTCTTTGAGTATAATAAAACCTGGATAATTCGTTTACGTCTTTCTTCTCTTCTTCTACTTTAATCTTACTAAAAAAAAACAATACAATGTTTTAACTAAATAGCAATTTAATAAAATAAGCACTCAAGTTTAGGGTGTCCAGAATTCTGCGGTGCATAATTCTGCTCACTCTAAAAATATTTTTTTTGTATTGCCTCTATAAGAAAAACGTGACTTTAATCACTTTTTAAAAACTAATACAATAAAAAAAAATATTTTTAGAGCGAGCAGAATTATGCACCGCAGAATTCTGGACACTCTAATGTATAGTCAATTGAAGTTTGACTTCAATATAGAGATATTGAAATATTGAACAGATAATATAAATAATCTAAAATCTATGGATATTCATCAGTTTAAATTAACCTGTGAATTATCTGTTCAATATTCAGTTCACATCTCTAACTCCCGTAGCAAGATTAAGAACGTGCATTAATGCATATTCATGTGCATATTATTATAAAATGCACATTTTCCCTTGCCTAGCCAGTATATAGCAAGTGAAGTTAATTATATGGGCTCCTTATACAATAGTTTAATCTATCAACTCCTTATGATCGACTATATATTTGAATTTTAACTTATTTTAAAGTTAGATTAATGGTATTATTCTTATTAATTCGAGTTATTATACAATTTCAATAAGAAATAATTAATTTATTGATGTAAAATAAATCAAAAGAGACAAACATTTGAAATTTTTTCAAATTTAACAAGCAGCTAAAATGGCACAAGTCTTTATCTGTAATATCATAAAATTGAGAATTATTTGTTGAATTATAAAGCTTCATTACATAAATAATCAACTTTTTTAATTTCATGTAACAATATTCTTCCATAAGGCTATCAAGATAAATTGTAATGGGCTCGCAATGAATCACTAAATATTTAAGCGAAATTCTTTTGATAGTATCGAAGATTCAGAAATAATAGAATTGCTATATATAAATTTAACAGTTAAATGAGTTAAGTGCAATTTTTAAATTAAGTCTTTAAATATCCGATCATGAGGAAATGGACAATAAATCTTGAGAGTAAGATGTGTAATATTTGGACAGTTTTCTATTATGGAAAGCATCGTTTCCTGTGTCAATACTTCTAAAGTTAATTTTTTCAGGTTTGGCATTTTAATATTCATCAAAAATTTTCTAATATATAACTTTTTTAAAATTTTAAATTCGAAATTATTGTGTAATATCATATGTCCAGAGTGATTCAAGATCACAAAATTTTCCAAATTTTTGCAGCTGGTAAGTGAAATCAATACAGATTCTGAGATGTTAACATACTCGAGTTTGATGGACATTAATGAATTAGCTTGAAATTGCAATGCTTTGATTATTTCATCTGCTCAGCTATCTACACCCCTGAAGTTAAATTCTTTTAATCTTTCCTGTGCATTTATAATCGATATAATAGAGTTTTTAATTTTAGGATTATTTTCAAATGCAGGAACTTTGACAATTAGATAATTTATTTTTTTACATGACTTTGAAATTTTTTCTAAAAGCTTTATAGTGTAGATTGATATTTGAGTGTATTCAATTGCAAGCTTTGTAATATTTAAATCTTGACTAATTTCAGGCTGAAATTTTAGAACATTCATAATATTATCGCTATTAAGTCTTAAAAATTCTAGATTCATACTTTTAATGAATAATTAGAATAAAAGCAAAATTATTTGCTTCTTAATTTGCATAACTTGTTTTTTTAACTTTTTATCAGGACAAAATATAGCAATCCAAGTATGTACAATTCTTCCCAAGTTCTTTATCGAAAATTTTTCTAGCATCATTGGATAATTAAATAAGAGTTTTTCATGTGGTATCAATTTCAGAATAGATTTTTGGTCATAAAATATCTTAAGTTGATTTTTTTCATGGTCTTCAAGAAAAGAAATATAAACTGATATAATCTTGTAGACGTTATCAAAGTTTAATGGATCAAATGGACAAGCCTACAATAATGTCATCATATTTTTACACCAGTAACGGTTTACTAATAAAGAAGGATATAGTGATTCATTATTTTTCTTGATATATTGAGATATTTCTTTCATACATTTAGTAGGAAGCAAAATGTTGAGAAATATTAACTGAAATGATATATGTATAAGTTCTATATTTAATATTATCTATAACCCTAAAACTTAAAAATTTGTAAAACGATAACATGTAACTCTCACTATATATACTCAATAAAGCGCCATGAGCGCATTTTATATATTAAAAAAACATTATCAATAATCTAGATTGATAGTTTTTCTATAATTCAAGCTATATATCATTATAGATAAATATCTGTAATTTAGAAATTAATGAGTGGATAAATTTTTTATACTAAAAAATAGGTACGCTGCACAATTAGCAAAAAAAAAAAAAAAATTGAATCGTACTTCAATAAAAGTATTAATTTGAATAGTTATCTAATAGAAACATTACATAATTGAATTAAATTGATGCATCATTTTATTTAGCGTTAAAGTTTTTGTTCATTAATACGTATGTGTAATATTTCTTATTATAAACTTTACATACTGTACATAATTTGGGCCAAAAATGTTTAAAGGATATTAAATTAAGATAAATTTCTTTCAAATAATACTGTATTCTAACGAAAATATTGTATTTAGTTATGGAACTTAGAAATTTAAAATTCAAATATCATACTCCGTGATTTATAATTTATAAATTCAATAATTAAGAATCATCTATTTTTGTATTGTCCCATTACTGTGTATTTAATGTCAATAATTATTTTTCTTATTTATAAACTTAAAAATTTTTGTTAAAAATTAGGTTTGATCTGAATATATCATTTTCCATTAAAAATAAAGATATCAATTTGTTGAACAACAACGAAAAGATAACGCAAATTTTCTATCTTCTGATCTGATGATGTTTCAATTGTTTCCTAAAAGATCTATAAGAAGTGATAATACTGAATTAAAATGCCTTAAACGTAAAAGATATGAGCAAATACGACGTGCAAGAATTAATGATTCTTTAAAAAAACTTAAAGACCATTTGTCGATGAGTAAAGTTGAAATATTAAAAGAAGGCAAGTATTCATTTTTATGATTTGATCAATTGTTCGGAACGTAGCGGCTTATGAGTATAACAACAAAGTTATGTTTTAAGACAAAATCAATTCAAAATATAAATAAATCAAAAACATTATATATGAAGAGAATGTCTGTCCACAATGACATATGATTATGCTCGTACTAGCCTAGTTATTTGCTAAATTTTATTTTTTACAATTTTAGCACGTGTAAAAATTGAATCATTGACAAATGAAAACAAACTACTAGAAAATAAAATCGGACATTTAAGCGAAATTTGTCAAGTGAAATTATTCGTTTATTGAATGAAAATAATTTATTGAACCAAATTTGTTAGATTCAATCAAGTCGAAACCATTTTGAGATTTGGCATATTCAAACGATATATCAAGGTCTGAATGTAATAAGATTATTCTAGTGTATTTATGTATCTTCTTATGTCAATATCATCTTCACATATGGGCGGATTTGCGTCATTACTAGTAAAATTCAACAGTGAATAACTTTTTATTCACCAGACCATTTTGGATGATTTCACCACCAAAATGACCATCTCGATGAGACGGTTTTAATGAGCCTAAAATCGCCAAAATCTAATCACAGGATCGCGAGGTATTTCGCTTCAGATAATATAGGCTAGGTATAACCCATTCTATTTTACTCGAAGCAGACAATTTTCTAAATATCTTGAGATCCTGTAATTGGATTTTGGCGATTTTAGGCTCGTTAGAATCGTTTCATTGAGACGGTTATCCTGGTGGTAAAATCATCTACAATAGACCTGTGAATAAAAAGCTATTCACTTTTAAACATTTTGACATTTTTAGTAGAAATAATGCAAATCCGCCCATATGATCTACAGAGGAATTTTCGAGTTGCTCATCACGTAATAAGTCTTTGCTAGATCTAATGCCAAAAAAATTATTATTTTTATTATTGAAATAAAATAGTTGAACCCTTTAAGTAATAAAAAAAATTTTAAATTATGCTGATATGGTTTCTTGCATAAATAAACATATACGTAATTGATATCGATATTGATAACTAAATTTGAGTTAAATGATTGTCGATCCCTTAATCTGATATATAGTACATAACGATAAGTACGGAAATCTTCATTCCTTTTTCGCATAAAAATTGAAAAAAACATGCATAATTCTTGTTTTTTATTATTTCCTGAAAATATTTTAAATACATATATATCTATATCTATATCGATATAGATCTTTCACATACGAAGTATTACATTTGTTAGATAAGAACTTATTTAGAGATTGAGCTATATGATTATTCAATGATGTTTATTATTTGATATTATTTGATGCTTCGTTCATTAGACTAAGGAACGTTATGCAGCAATTTAAATAACGCTGCATATCAGTTTAGTGGTTTATCGTTCGATTTGTCTAAAAATTCAAAGAACACTGTACAGCAGTTTAGTTGAGCTCAAAGAACATTGTGCAGTAGTTTATTAATTAATTGCTGAGAAAATTATATAAATAAATTAATAGAAATCATAGTTCATATGCATTATTCTTACTATGTTTTCTTTATTTTTAAAATGCCAGAAGTAAATGACTATTTTAAAAAATTTAATGTAAATTATTGGAGTTATGATGAATTTCTCAAATACTTGACAGCCGAAAAATGTAATGAAGATATTTGGATAAAATCCCTGGAAGCAATTAGTAAAGATAAAAACTGTCTTGTTAGATGCCGTAAAAAAGCGAGTCATATTTTACATGACTATTTTTTTGTAACTGATTT